TTCTCTCTGTCTAGCCCCCTCTCTACCACTCTAAAGACAAATAGATAGATAGATAGATAGATAGATAGATAGATAGATAGATAGGTAAATGGAAAAATATCCTAGCGTGAGGATTAACAAAACAAAACAAAAGAGCTACCTTGCGGACCCACAGAATCACAAGAAACAGTCAAAGTTCATGGTTTGCTTTAAGCCACTAAGTGTTGAGGTGGTTTAGTTACACAGCAAAAACGGATACAACCCTAAATCAAAACAAAAACATTAAGCATTCAGGGCACTACGATGGCACTGGGCTGAGTGCTCTTCCTGCATCTTATGATGGAATCTAGGTGTGACAGGGGTGGGGGTGGGGGATCTCAACTACCTCCAAGCCCTGAGGGTCTTTGATCTTTTTCCTCAGACTTGGGAGGGGATCCTCTGCATCTCAGCCTGTGAGAATCAGAGGCAGATCAAGTGTTCTGTGGGAAGGAGGGAGGAGGAGGAGGGGGAAAGAGGAGAGACTGGAGGGGAAACGGAGAGCACAGGAAGCGAGGAGGGTAGGTGTTATGGGGATTTAAAGGAGCTCCCAGAGTCAGCACCCAGGCTGTGGCTCTGAGCCCTGCCCTCTGCCCCCAGGCACCACACCCTGACCAGGAACCATCTCTAAATCAAGGGGTGAAGTGAAGTGGCAACTCAGGTACTACCAGGCCTGTCTCCCACAGTCTGCCCCAGGAGACCTTTCACTGGGCATGCAGGTCCCTGGGCCATGGCCCTGCCCTCTCCACAGGCCCGGTCCTGGCACCATGCTTTGGGACAGGGACCCAGAGCACAAAGCATCTACCAGGCTTTGTCCCTTCCCAGGATAATTCCTCTAGCCTGCAGGGTTTTGATCCAAGTTAATACGATCTAACCTCCCATGTCAGTAACGTGTGCCATGATGCCAGCGGAAGATCATCGGACCTCACACCCATACACTCGTCCAGCGTGTCCGCTGACAAAGCCACTCTTCCGTTTTCCTATGTGTGAATTCGCCAGAGTTGGAATCCCAATTCCCATTCCATAGATAGCAAAACGCGGGCCGGGAGAGAAGTGGTTTGCTAAGATCCCAGGGGAAGCAGACAGAGCTGGAGGGGAGATTTGAATGACAGCTGGGACCGTCCCCCATATTAATGGAGGCCGGAGACGGGACCACACGGCTCCCCGTGACCCCGGGGCTCCGCCATTGGGAAACCCATACTTCCCGAATCACCAGCACCCACACCGGTACCGGGGGAGCTTTGCCAGCTCACCAGGCCCCGCCTCCACCTGCCCCAGGCTCTCCCAGATCCTGCCCGAGGTGCGAGGTCCCCGGGGAACTGGGCTGGGAGACCGTGCTTTGTCCCTCCCCAGGATAATCCCTCTCCCGGGTACACCAGGACGATCAGCTCGAACATTTCCCAAGGACAACTCCAAAATAAATTATCTCAGACTTACCAGAGGCTCCTTAATAAATTCCCCTCTTCTGGTTTCTTTGGGTATTTTAGAAGCTGATTTATACATACAATATCTCTCTCAAAATGAGACAATCAACACGGGATAAAATTATTGAGTTATGAAAATAGGGGTCAGATGGAGGTGCAGTGCTTTAAATTAAACCGGCAAAACATATCTTTCATACGAAATTGACTCTTTTTGTCTTGGAAATGAATGTTTAATCAGTTAAGACGCAGAAGTCGAGGGAGAAGCCCTAGCAGATTTAACTCTGTCGAGGGGCCCCGCTCCACCACTGTACAGGATCCCCGCCCGCAGCCGTGCGTTACCGCAGAAGGACCCACTCCCAGGTTGGCCAGGAGGCCGCCGGGGCCAGGGCAGCCTCTGGGTCAGAGCCTCGGGGACTCGGCACTCACTCACGAGATGGGTGTCAGATGCCTTAGCCCCACCCCCCTCTGCAGGGACAACATGCCTCGCAGTTTGTGCCAACAGGGTCTGTGGCATCCTGCCCATCGGGGCCTCTCGGTGCCACCTGTGTCCCCCCAGCCCAGCGGCCCCAGCCCTCAAACACCTGGTAAAACTGAGGGGTGCAGGGTAGGGGACAGAGCTGGACTGCACATCCTGTTGGTTTTTGTGTCGTTTTTTTGTTTTGTTTTTACTTCATAGTTGTGTGACCTTCATTCATTTACTCAGAGAGCCTACTCTGTGGCAGGCCGTCCCTTCTTCAAGGTGCCCCTTCTGGGTGCACAGCGCGCCGTACGCCGATCCCATCAGAGTGTTTACTACGTTTTCAGAAACGGAGTTTTCACCCGTCTCTCCGCCTGCAGGGAGGAGTCCTTCAAGGGCATCTCACAGACCCGGGCTCAGAACAAGGCCGGGGCCCTAGGAGGGTTCAGTGAAGGCTGCCGCACGGCTGGTCACCGGGAGGCTGAAAAACGGTCCTCATTCCTGGAGCCTGTACGTGTCACTGTATTTGAGGGGAAACCCAGTAGTTTCTGTGGGTGTAAGTGAAGGCTCCAGCGCTAAGGAGATGCTCCTGAATTATCCCCAGTGCCAGCACAAGCATCCTTCTGAGGAAGGCAGAGCGAGGTTTCACTGGCAAGAGAAGGGGACAGTGACGTGAGGGCAGGTGAGAAGGATGCGGCCATAAGCCAAGAACAGTGGCCACCGCCAGAAGCTAGACGCAGCAAGGACTAGGTTTGCCCCAGGGATTCCGAAAGAAGCTCAGGATGTGAGGGCGATCTGGCTGCGACATCTGTCACCCCACTGATCGCCAGGGTTGATTCGGCTGATCTGGCTGGCTAGGCGGGTGTCCCCCTCCTCCCTCACCGATCCATGTGTGTCCCTCCCGAAGCTGCGCGCTCGGTCGAAGAGGACGACTTTCCCCCAAGAGGAGAGGACCGGTCTTCGGTCAGGGTATCCGAGTAGCTGCGCTCCCCTGCGAGAACCTCCACACAAGCTCTCAAGGTCCGAAAGAAGCTCACCCGACCTGGGCCCGGTCATACCGACTTCAACTTCCAGCCGCCAGAGCTACGAGAAAGTCTGTTTCTAATTGTTTTAGGCCATGAGCTGGTGACTTCTGTTTGTTAGCTCAGCCACAGGACACTGAGAACTGCTCTGAGCCTCCATCTCCTCACGACAGTTATGCCTGCCTCACTCGGAGCTGGGAGCATTGCGGGAGAAGAGGTTTGCAAAGCCCTCTGCATGGCGCTTGATTCCTAACGGGTGATAAGACATTCCAGCATCACCCTCTCAGAACGCACATCCATCCGCACAGACACACACCTGCTTCCTGCAGCTCAGACACATTTAAGAATTTGTCTTCACCCTGGCCGACTTGGCTCAGTGAATGGAGCATCAGTCTTCGGACTGAGGGGTCTCGGGTTCGATTCTGGTCAAAGGTACATGCCTGGGTTGCAGGCTTGATCCCCAGGACGGGGCATGCAGGAGACAGCCGATCAATGATTCTCTCTCATCATTGATGTTTCTATCTCTCCTTCTCCTTCCCTCTCTAAAATCAATAAAGACATATATATATATTAAAGAATTTGTCTTTACAGTGCTTGTCTCTCTGCCTGAGCCCCGATGGGTGGGCATGCTCCTACCTGGTTTTCTAATTGGCCCCGTGGCCCTTCCCTGGATGGGAGACTTCTGGCTTATCTTTCATGACTTAACAAGGGAATATAAAACCCAATGGGCCCTTGAAAACTCTGCCTAATGGAAGAATTAGAGCGATCTGAATTTGTGAAGCGTCTCTAACAGGAGCTTGTTTGAAAGAAATCTGGAAAATGACTGCAAAGTGGCTATTTGGACCAGGCCCAACAGAAGCATTTCCTAGGAGGAGCCATCAGGGGGTCATCTCCGATAAACAGATAACGTCTTCTGTAATTATCAGCGCTATACTAACCAGGGGGCCCTGCCGAGGCACCTGCGAGCCTGTTCCTTTAGCTGAATGCGACCGGCAGGCACACAGTGCCCTTTGGCTACGGTGGGAATTCACTTTTATTGATCCTGCTACGAATAGCAGACATCCCCCGATGGTTTGCTCAGTGGCAGACACTGCCTCAGTCTTTGCCTACCTTATCTCAGGCAGCCAGGAGGTGGGCCCTGGGTGATTCTGAGACCAGGGAAGTGAAGTGGGAGAGAGGAGCGGAGATCTCAGGCAAGTCTGCGGGATGCCGGAGCCCGCACACGGCTCCACGTGCTCACCATCAAGCACCAAAGGCCAGTGACACCGCGGCCCCGAACCACAGCCATCCTCACCCCGCACTCACAGCCCTCCCCTGGCTTGTGTTTGCATAAATCCCAAACTGGGACAGTCTAAAGGCGGCGGGGAGCAGGGGAGGGGGAGAGCTTTTGTTAGGAAATGGGCTGCCAAGCCGCTCAGGTATAAGCATTCCTACACAGTGGGATGAAAACCACACACGCGGCTGTGGTATCTTCAGTTCTCCTGGAGAGAGCGGAGGAAGCTCGGGCCCTGCATTATTGATGGGCCCGCAGAAAACGGTTCCTCAAGAAATGGAGCATGCATTTCCACCGAGCTCTCTAGCCAGCCCTCCAGCATTAGGAAATGTGGATCTTGAGTGGTTGGCTTCTTCCCTCCTTACTCTTTTCTTCCCTCCCCACTCCTTTCCCTCCTTTTATTTCTCACCCAGATTTTTTTTTTTTTTAAAGCGGATTGTATTGATAGTGACAAAACTTGAATGTACTAAAAGCTACTGAACGGTACACTTTAAAGTGGTAAATTACATGGGATATGAATGAGATATCAATAAAGCTGTTAAAAATAAAAATTCAGGTGATTTATACTATTGCAGAGAATACTACACCGAAGGTTACAAACAGTGTTCCAGAAGTGAGCAGTGTGAAGACATACACTTTCCTCCGTGCCCATCCCCATAGTGTGCAGATGCCCATGCAGGCAACCTGGAGCCCAGACCCTGCACACGGGCACAGGGTCCTCATCACGGCACTACAGCTCTGCCCCCCTCCCAGCCCGCTTCCCTTCCCTGCTGGAACTGGGCGGGAGCTATGGCAAAACATCAACTCACCGTGGGCAGCTGGCCCGACAGCAGGTGGCTATCCTGGGCCAGCATGTTGGACACCATGATGGCCGGCAGGTCCATGGCCTGGTAGGAGTAGGCCGGGAGCAGTCCGTTGGGTGCGAGGCTGTGGCACAGTGAGTGGTAGCCGGCTTCGTGGTCCCCCAGGTGCAGGAGGGATGGTTCCGGGAGGTTGGGTGGGGTTATCGGGGGGATCTCATAGTCCTCGTTGCTCTCGTTCTGGCTGCTGTAGGTCTGAAACATCAAAAGGGCATGTTGTCAAGGGCCAGTGACTTACAACTGCAGGACAAGCTTGACAGCACCAATAACAATGGTGGTGACAAGTGTTTGGCAACAGAGAGAAGATCCCTCTGCAAGGCAGATGGTCAAGATGGCTGCCTGACCTGGTGAAGCTCCTGCCCCATCCCCGTGGGTGCGTCCTCCTACTAGAAGGTCTGCGTACAAACACCTGCCCTCCTGCTGGGGCCAGCTCCTGTCCACCTGCTCTCTGCTTCCCACCAGATCTGCCCAGGACAGCCCACCATGGGTCCACTGCCCCACACCCACCCATTTTACAGATGGGAGAGCTACTCAGCCCCATGAAGGACAGGGGATCACCCAGGTTGTAGCAGAGTTGGAGACAGAGCTAACGTATCCTGACTCCAGGCCTGAGGTTTTCCAGGGCAGCAGGATGACTTTCTCTTGTGTGCTCCCAATACGGGCCCAGCGGGGCTCTCTCCTGGTCTCTCTCACCTTAGTGAGCAGTACAACCTTTCTCCTAGGAGCACAAGCCAGGAGTATACTAGAAAGCTTCCTTTCTGATCCTGATTTATTCATCCTCCCCTTTCCCCCCATCGCTGCTCAGACCAAGATGTCCCGAAACAACGCTGGAAAGAAATGATGAGCATTCCCTCTACAGGAATTCTCTGCCCCACCTCCTGGTCCCCCTCAATCTGGCTCGTTCTTACTCATGCCTCAGCAGGCTTGGTGTAAATGTCTTCTCTAATACCCTCTAGTGTAGGTCAGATCCCACTGTACACCCCCAGGCTGCCCTGCATTTCTCCTGGGAAGCACTCATGGAGCTTGTCGCTAACTAACTTATTGTACAATTATTTGTTTAACTAGATGCTCAATTCATGAAGATTTGTGCAAGAATGGGCTTTCCTTCCCTTGGCTGCTGGTACTGCCTTCACTCCAGGTGGAACAGCCTTTCTGCCTTCCCACACTGCCCAGAGGTCCGGAGCAGCTGGGCAGGGGTGCAATGCCTGCTTTGCCGCCATGACAACGCAAGCATCCCACCCAGCCCGTGGCTGCTGGGTGCCAGCATATGCAAATGAAACCATCATCTTTGTTAGGTTAATTTGCATAGTCACTCCTGATTGGCTGGTGGGTGTCGTGAAGGTACAGTCGATTTGCATCTTGCTCTTTTATTAGTGTAGATGGTTAATGTGAGTTCTGCGAGGACAGTCCTTGTATGTTCTGTTTTCCAGAACCTGGCACAAAGTAAGAGCTCAAAACAAATTAGTTGAATGGATGAATGAGCCAGCTCCTAGGGCAGATGCTGTAAGCATGCATGTCAGCATCCCACTTCACCTTCATGATGCCCCAGAGATGGGTGTTACTGTCCATGTTGTTCAGGAGGCAGCATAGCGCAAGTGGTTAAGAGCCAGAGAGCCTGGCCTGAATTCTCTGTTTTCTGTGTACTAGCTATGTGACTTTGGGCAAGTCAGTTAATCTCTCTGTGCCTGTTTCTTCGTATGTGAAAAGAGGGTAATAACAGTACATACCTCAGACTTGCAATAAAGGACTCTGTTCCAGTGTCCTGAGCAATATGTGCAAATTGCTCCGGACACTGAAACATAGCCGCTCTCTGTGTTGGCTGTTAGTGCTGCCATTGTTGTGTTTGCCTGGAGATTCAGAGATGTTAAGAAACTTCTCCAAGGACACAGAGCGAGCACACAGCAGCCCATGCACTCAGTATCCTCACTTGTCTTCCCCGCTGTGAGTGTTCCTAACTCCTCACAACGCTGCTCTGTGCTCCGAAAGGTAGTCTGTCTTCATCTAATCACTGAGATGGGCTGGGGCTGATTTTCTTCAGATGGGACTCAGACACCGGCATCATATCACTCAGAAAACAAGAGTTCCAGGAAGCCCTCCCCAGTCCCCTGCCCATCCCACAATAAGACTCTCCTCCTCCCATCTTCCCTCACAGCCTGGTGTATGTGCTCCCTATAGTACCATTGCCTCCTGAAATTGTTTCTGATTCTTGACTTACCCTTTGCTGCCTCAAACCTCTGGCTCCAAGGGGCGGGGCTAAGGCTGTCTTGTCCCCGGTGTGCCTGGCACTCAGTAGGTGCTCAAGTAGAAGGCGCTAAATGAGCACATGAAACGGGGGAGCACACCAGGCTTTAGGCTTAGACCTCACCCACGTGTTTTCAAACCTACCCCTCCAGACAGATCCTAAGTCCCTACGTGACCTATTGTTCACGTCTGTCAAGGTCCACCTTCCACTCTGCCCACCAGCACCTGGAACAGGTGCTGGCTCACAGCACGTGACCAGCAGATACTAAATGACCACACACGTCCATTCCCTTCACTTCAAAACCTATCCCTCAGCACACTGGAACCGGCCCAATCAGCCAGAAGCCTTTTGCAAATGTGAGCATATGTTGTATCAAAATATTGGAATAACACAGTTATGACAACTCATTTAAAGAGGCAATTAGCACACACTTAAAAATAATTAGACATGCAAACACATGCATACCTCCTTCGAATTTGTGTCACCTGAAAACCAACCCCTTGTGCTACGGACTCACACTGAGCGCCTGCTGTGCGCCAGGCAGCAGGCCTGGCTCTTCTACACACACTGTCCATGTAATCCGAATGAGTTCTGCAAAGAAGTGGCGATTCTCTCCATTTTGCAGACAAAGATGAAGCTTAAGGCGTGGAGATGTCACAGAGCTAGTGAGTCTTGGCTGGGATTCAAACCCAGGTCTGTGACTCTGAATCCAGCATTTCCCACTCCAAGATTCCCATTTCTCACTTCTCCTGAGCCAGTATGTACGTTTGAGTCCTTGTTTTCAATCCTTTTGGATATATTATATAACTAGGAGTGAATTTGCTGGGTCATATGGTAATTGTATGTTTAACTTTTTGAGAGTTAAACATACTCTATTATATTAAACTTTTTTTTTTAAAACTAATTGTATTAAACTTTTGATATCCAACCAGCAATTCAGGAAGGGTTGCAATTTCTCCACATCCTCGCAGACAACACTTAGGGCCCACTGTTTTCATTCGGCCATCCTAAGTGTGTGTGAGGTGGTATCCTGTTGTAGCTTTGACTTTAGTTCCCTAGTGACTAATGAGTATCTTTTAATGTGTGTCTTGGCCATTTGCATGTCTCCTTTGGAGAAATATCTATTGAGGTTTTTCATCCATTTTTAAATTAGGTTGTTTGTCTTTTTGTTGTTGTATTGTAAGGTGCTTCTTTATGTATCATATTATAGATACCAGACTCTTATACTAGTAAGATATAGAATTTGCAAATATTCCTCTCCCATTCTGTAGGCTGTCTTTTTACTTTCTTTGTAATGTTCTTTAATGCACAAAAGTTTTTTTAAATTCTGATAAAGTCCAGTTCAACCCATTTTTTCTTTCATTGTTCATGCTTATGATATCATAGCTAAGATCCACAGCCAAAGCCAAGGTCATGAGGAATTACTCCTATGATTTCTTCTAAGAATTTTGTGATTGTAGCCCTGAAACTTAGGTCATGGGCCTGTGCATATGGCATGAGGTAGAATCCAACTTCGTTATTTGCATGTTGCTCACCAGCTGACCTAGCACTGAGTGGCGAAGAGCCTGTTCTTTTCCTACCCAGTGGTCTTGGCATCCTAGATGAAGTTCATTTGACCACAGATATTGGGGTTTACTATTTCTGGACTCTTAATTCTGTTCCATTGTTCTATATGTTTATCCTTATGCCAGTACCACACTGTTTGGAATACTGTAGCTCTGCAGAAGTGTAGTCTTGGCTGGGATTCAAACCCATCCAACTTTTTTCTTATTTTTCAAGATTGTTGTGGCTACTCAGGGTCCCTTACAATTCATATGAATTTGGGATCAGTTATTCCATTTCTGCCCCCACAGGCTAGTGGGAATCTGATAGGAAATGCATTGAATTTGTAGATCATTTGGGTAGCATCACCATCTTACCAATAGTAAGTCTTTCAATCAACAAACACAGGATGCCTTCCATTTATCTAGGTCTTCTTTACTTTACTTCAGCAATGTTTTATGGTTTTCAGTGTTCAAGTTTCCCACTTTGTTGGTCAAATTTATTCCTACAGATTTTATTCTTTTGGATGCTATTATGTATGAAATTGTTTGCATAGTTGCCTTGTGGGATTATTCATTGCTGATGTATAGTAGCACAGCTGATTTTTGTGTGTTGATCTTACACTTCAAACTTTGCTGAATTTGTTTATTAGTGATTTATTGCAATTTTAAGGGGAAAAAAGAAATTCCACACCATTAGAAAAACAAACAACAAACAGAAAGGGAAAAAAATAGAACCTAATCAACTTAAAAATCTGAAAAGAAATAAAAATAGGAATGAACTATGAAACATGATAATAAAGAACCTTCATAAAATGACAGAACTAACACTAATTATTAGCAATAACAATAGATTTTGATATTTTAATTCCCTTATTAAAAGATAAAAATTAATATTTTGATTAAAATAAATAAGTCTATCATATGAAATTTATAATAGCCACATATAAAATAAAGTGACACAAAAGGTTAAAAATTAGCAAATATTTCAGGCAAATAAAAAGCAAAAATGGAAAATTTAATAACAAATTAAGTACCATTTAGGGCAAAAAGCATTACAGAGACCAAGAGGAATACTTAAGTTGACAAATGATATAATCCACTAAGGAGAACTGAAAGAAAAAAAATTTTATGTTCACTAATAAACCACAGGAATATAAAATATAAAATACTTTTAAAAGTACAAAGAGGATTTAATAAAACCACTAAAGCATCTCTGCAAAAATGGACAAATTAATCAGATAAAAATGAGGAAGGCACTAATCAGTTTGGCTCAATGGATAGAGCATCAGCCTTTGGACTCAAGGGTTCCAGGTTCGATTCCGGACAAGAGCATGTACCTTGGTTGCAGGCACATCCCCAGTAGGGAGTGTGCATGAGGCAGCTGATTGATGTTTCTCTCTCATCAATGT